AGCTTGACCATCAGCCACTGTAGCTTTGACTAAACATATGAGAGAGAAATATTTAGGGGGTGGTGATTGACAGGGGAGGGGGTCTTCATTACAGCAGCTTAACTCGCATCCTAAGAAAACACTAAAACCTAAAAACAAAAGCATGGGCAGGACACTGGTAAGTTTCTCAGTGACCCATGAGTCTCAAAAATCTTGGAAAAAACAAAACAAAACAAAACAAAACAAACACACAAACAAAAAACTGCCAAAAAAAGACTCAGAACAAGATGGGAAAGAGAACACGGCCTCCCACCACCACCGCCAAGCAAAAGCAAACAAAATGAAAGATTTTTGGAATCTAACTCTCTCTTAAAGGAGAGAGATTCTTGGCCTGTTTCAGTCAGAGGAGCTTAATGCAGAGCACCTCCTACAATCCTTTAAAAATACGACTTTGCTTCTCCTCTAGAAGAATCAAAACCCATTAATGGTTTTGAACGCATCACAAATATTTATATAAGTATGGATGTGGTAAAGTTTATTATCCTACTACGTCGAATGTGGTCAAATATCATTAACCCCAAGTGGCCAAGTTGCTGGTAAAAACAGAATATGGTTTTGATGATTACTGTGGGTACTTTCTCAGTGTGAGTCCCAGGTACATTAGGTTGCCTTGAAGGGCTATGAGTGGGCGGGGCTGTATAGAGGAAAGACTGGTGGCCGGGCCTCTTTAGTTAGGTCAGCCAGCCCAGCACCTCTCCTGATCTCTGGGCTCACCTCATCACAGAATGCTGCTTTACCCATGGCCACCAGCCAGGGTACAAACAAGGCTTCAAGCAGCAGCAAGGCCAGAGAAAACAACCCCATGCTCTAGGAAATCCATTTCAGCAGGCAGAGTAGGGAGGGCAGATGGAGGAAAGGGAGGAAGGGAATGCCCGGAGGGAGGGAGGGCCCACAACCTAGTGCTCACAGGCTCAAAGTCCTGTGAGGTAACACAGCAGTCCTTTGGCCCCTCCACCCATACTCTCACCCTGCAGCCAGAGTGATGATGAGAGACAGAGAGAGAAACAGAGAGACAGAGAGCCCAGTTTTTGACTTGCCCAAGTTTTCATCACCGGAAGTGGGCTTCCCCCTTACTCATCCAGCTCTGTCCTCTGAGGCCCCAGGCAACTTCTGAAAGACAGTCGTACCCTAAGCCTGCGTCAGGGAAGCAGAGCCTCAGCCTAACCCCACCCAGCTTGACAGTGCAGGCTGTGGAGGCCAGAAAGGGAATGGCTGAGGGTGAATCTAGGTTGAGGGTGTAGGCTGAGAAGGCTCTGCTGGGTGTTCACCAAGCAGAGCTGCGCTGAGGTTCTCTGCAGGGGAGAGCTGGTCAGGCAGGACACTTGTCAGTGTGTGCTCCAGGATTTCTGTCAGATGAGTCCCCAGGAGGCCTGGATGAGCTCAGAGCACAGCTCAGTCCAGATGTGAGCGATTAGTGCTGAGGGAGGGGAGTGACCTCACCCCGGCTTCCTCCCTGGAGGGATCTGGAGCCAAGTTAGACCTCATCATAGGCTACGGAGAACTGCGGAGAGAAGCAGATGCGTGTTGCTCAGGATACCCACAGCTGCCGTGTGTCACTAGCTCAGCGGCTCTCCCCCTTCCTAACGCTGCAACCCTTCAATACAGTTCCGCATGCTGTGGTGACCCCAACTACAAAATGACTTCATTGCTACTTCAGAACTAATTTTGCTATGAGTTGTAATGTAAATATCTGGTATGTAGGATTTCTGACATGTGACGCACACGCACACGCACACGCACACATGGACACACAGGGAGAGCATACAGAGAGGGCATCTATGCAGACTCCCACCAGGATAGGTTCATCTTCCTGGCCCACCCTGGAGTAAGAGGAACTCTTCCTGCCTCCTCTATGTCTCTCCAGGCAGAGCTCCCAGCTTAAGCTGAAACAGAATGTGGGCTCACCTTGCTAAGGCTGGTCTGGACCTCTTCTGTCTCTCTGAGGCATCTCAGACTGGAGCACAGTCTTCCAGCAGGAAGGTCCAGACTGAAGGTCTCGTCTTTGTCCTTACCACTTTGTATCTGCTTGTTCAGCCCATCATGCTTTCTGCTTTTAGCTCACAATTCCACCAGGCAACCAATTTAAATTATAAAAACATTAAGAGGTGGAGTACATGGCCTAGCAGTTAACAGTGTGTTAACAGCAGTTTACAGTCCTCTTATGGAGGACTCTGGCTCAGTTCACAGCACCCATACTGGGTGGCTCACAACTGCCTCTATGTCCAGCTGCAGAGGATCTGGTGCCCTCTTCAGGCCTCTGTGAGCACTGGCACTCACATGCACATACACAAACACATACACATAATTTAAAATAAATGTCTGAGTTAGAGAGATGATTTAGCAGTTAAGAGCACTTGCTACTCTTGCAGAGGATCTGGGTTAATTCCTAGCTTCCATAAGGAAACGCACAACTCCAATTCCAGAGGACTTGATGTTCTGTTCTGATCTTCCCAGTTGCCCCATGCACACAGTGCAGGTAAAAACACCCACATAAAAATATAAAAAAAGAAAAAGAAAACAACGCAGGTAAAAGCAGAGGGAGAGCTGAATGACTCCCAGAGTCATTGCTCTGCGTGCCCATTCATACTTCTCACTGTTCCTCCACCATGCCTGGGTTTCTGAAGTAAATCTAAGACTAACACTTCAGCAGTAAATATTCTAACGTGGGTCTCCCAAAGACCCATTTCTACACATGAAGAGCCAGCACCCCACTTGTCCTAGTTGCTTTCCTGTTGCTATGATAAAATACTCCAACAAACTTTGGGGGAATGTCTATTCTGGCTTAAGCTCCAGAGGGGTTACAGTCCACTCTGCTGGGGAAGGCATGATGGTAGGAGCATGAGGCCACCCCATCACATCCCACGGGCAATCCAGAAGCAGAGGGGAAAAGAGGAAATGGAGTTGGAATAATAATAACAAAACAAAAAAACAAACAAAAAAAAACCCCACTTTTTTTTTTTCGAGACAGGGTTTCTCTGTGTGTAGCCTTGGTTGTCTTGGAACTATGTGGACTAGGCTAGCCTTGAACTCACAGAGATCTGCCTGCCTCTGCCTCCCAAGTGCTGGGAGTAAGGGCGTACACCACCACTCTTGGCATAATAATAAAACTTAAAGCCCACCCCTAGTGACATAATTTCTCCAGCAAGGTTCCACCCTCTATACAGTCCATAACCTTCCAAAACAGCATCACCAGCGGGGGACCAAGTGTTCAGACTCGTAAGCCTATGGGAGATATTTCACAATCAGGTCATAACACCACTATAACATTCTCTTCCCTTCCTCAAATCAGTAGTAGCACCATGGCCTTTTGAACAGGGTTTCTAAGTTCAGTGAAAGGGAATCATTTGCCCTTCACAAAATGTTCTCTACTAATTACCTTGCAAATGCTATAAGAAAATATCTGAGCGTGCTCAGTGGTGCATGCCTGTAATTCCAGCAGTCAGGAAGGCGGAAGCAGGAGGATCTCTGTGAGTTCGAGGCCAGCCAGGACAGTCAAGGCTACACAAACTCTGCCTCGTAAAACCAAAACCAAAAGAAAAAAAGAAAAAGAAAGAGAGAGAGAGAGAGAGAGAGAGAGAGAGAGAGGAAAAGAAAAAATGAAATATCTGAAGCAATCTAGTTGGTGGTGCCAGGTACAACCTCAGTGAAGGAAGAGATGAGTCAAGAGTTGAGAATATGTATTAGTCATAGTTCTCTGGAAGCACATCCGTTCCATCAGTTTTGTCCCTCTAGGGAATGCCTCACTAAGAATGAATCTATTGATATTTAGAAAGTGGATTTCTTAGAATGGCTTACAGACCATGGTCCAGCTAACCCAACGATGGCTTTCTACCAATGAAAGACCCAAAAATCCAATAGATGTTCAGTCCATGAGTCTGGATAGTTCAGCTGGTCTTCAGTATATCATGAAATCCTAAAGAAACAGACTCTAACAGCAGTGAAGGAATGGACTTACCAGTAAAGCCAAAAGACAGGGAGAGCAGGCTTCCTTTTTCCATGTCCTTTGTCTGTTGTTTTTCGAGATAGAGTTTCTCTAGGTAGCTCTGGCTGTCCTGGAACTCACTCTGTAGATCAGGCTGACCCTGAACTCAGAACTCCACCTGCCTCTGCCTCCCAAATGTGGAATTAAAGGTGTGTGCCACCATTGCCTAGCCTTCTGTATCTTTCATATAGGCTGCAAGCAGAAGGTAAGAGTTCATTTAAAGGTGGATCTTCCCACCTCAAAAGATCGGGATAATTAACTAATTAAGTCAAATAATTAAGATAAGACCTCACAAGTGCACCCAGCTACTTGGGTTTTAGATAATTTCAAATGCAGTCAAAAGACCAGCCACTCTAGTAGGTTAGGCCTCTGATCCTCACTGGCAGTGTGGCTTTGGATGTGGTCTCAGCAGCTCAGACTAGCTGGTTCCCAGTGAGGAGGTTGCTCGGTCTCCTCCCTGAGTTCTTCCTGCTACTGTGTGGCTCATCGCTTCTCAAGCAGATTACTGCTTCCCTCCAAAGTCACATCCCATTCTCCACGTCTGAAATTCAAAACACTCTCTTCAAACATTTATGGAGGCTCATCGAGGCCCCAGATCAAAGCCAAGGGCTTTGATACCAAGACCCCTTGCTGGTCGAATCTCACATTCTGTTTCTCTGTACGCATTCCAACCACCTGGATGGTTTGTTCAAGGAAGACATGCTTCTCTCCGTATCTTTGCAAGCAGTCAAACCTTGCCTGTCTTGACTCTACCAGCCTAGACACTGCCTCCTTGAAAAAACCCTCCTGGGTCTGTAGACAGGGGCATGGCTAGAGAGGTGGCTCACATCTCCATCCTCTGCTTGTCCTTGTGTCTCATTTCAGCATCCACCTCACTTAAGCCTGGCGTTTTCACAGGACTCTAGTGTCACAAGGAAACCACTGGCTCTACAGTGATAAGGCTTGTTTTTGTTTGTTTGTTTGTTTGTTTTTCCTACAGCTGTTGAGTCTACCAGTTCCTCCAGAGAAGAGCTACCTTGGAGCCCAGGTTGTGACAGACATATGGCTGTCCAAGGCCGTTTAGATGTCATGGAAGAGGTAACGAGGGCACAGGAGGAAGGAATCACGAAGCTTCATGGCCAGCTGCCAGGCCAGAGGCTCTGTGGAGTAGAAATGTCAGAAAACCCAGGCCAGATCTGTTCCCCAGCCACCAAGTTAAATGCTTTCTGTTCCAACTGGGATGTTCAGCCAAGTGATGTCTTATACCCCACCTTCCAGAAGGCATTGCCTGAGATTTTTCCCTAGTTGGGTGAACTGGTTGGTTTCATCTGTCAGCTTGACACAAACTAGAGTCACCAGAGAGGAAAGAGCCTCAGTTGAGGAAATGCCTCCATGAGATCCAGCTGTAAAGCATTTTTCTCAATTAGTGATCAATGAGGGAGGGCCCAGCCCATAGTGGGTGGGGCCATCCCTGGGCTGGCAGTCCTGGGTTCTGTAAGAAAGCAGCTGAGCAAGCCAGTAAGCAGCACCCTCCATGGCCTCTGCATCAGCTCCTGCCTCCAGGTTCCTACCCTGTTTGAGTTCCTGTCCTAACTTTCTTAATGTAGAAGTAGAAGCCAAATAAACCCTTTCCTCCCCAGCTTGCTTTTTGTCGTGGTGTTTCATTGCATCAATAGAAACCCTGAGACATTGGAGTATGGGGGGAATGGAACCATCAAATTTTGTGATGAATCATAACTAGGGGTTCATAAATTTGTGTGGGGAAAAGTTTTACCTTTACTGCTGAAAATGGTTTTTTTGGTTGTTGTTCTCTTTTGTTTTTGTTTGTTTGTTTTTTGAGACAGGGTTTCTCTATGTAACAGCCCTGGCTGTCCTGGAACTCACCCTGTAGACCAGGCTGGGCTCAAACTCAGATCCGCATGTCTCTGCCTTGTGTGTGCTGGCATGTGTCACCACTGCCTGGCCTAATCCCAGGACTTTCAAAGTGGAAGGAGAGAACTGACTCCTGCAAACTGTTCTCTGACTTCCGCACACTCCCAGTGCTGTAAGTGTGCACCCCCGCCCCCCCAAAAGCGGACAGCTTTTAAGATTGACTTCTGGCCTTTTTGCCCCCTGCCCGCAAGGTAGTAATAATAATTTTTTTGAGATAAAGTGTTACTCCTATCCCAAGCTGGTCTGGAATTTGTGGTGATCCTCCTGTTTACTAACTTTTGAGCTTACAGACATCAACACCTAAAGTAACATAGTTTTAACATTTGAGTGCTATTATAATGTAGTTGACACCATTGTTTTTCTGTTTTAAGCATTAAAGCACTGTTCTGGCATGAAGCCTGTAGGCTTTACTAAGTTGCCAGCAGGATCTGTAGCAACACACACCCCTTTAAGCAACTCCTACGAACAAGAAACTTTAAAATCCCAAACCTGTCATTTAATAAAGGTGCCACCAGGGGGCGGTGTGACAAAAGGAATGTGCATTCTTTTTGCCAACTCCCTAAACAAAGAAAAAGGTGCTTTGAAAGTCTGGCACCTTTTTAATGCCAGACAACAGGATCCTTAAAAGGGTGAAGGGAGCAGCCAGTGATGTTACATGGGAAAAGTGAGCAGAGATTGGGTGAGAGCCAGTATTCCACAGCACCCAGAGCCCTCTCCTTCAGCTAGGACCTGGGCACAGCGGATTTCTTTAGAATATCACTAAGCTAAGCTAAAGTTGGCCTAGCTCCTGAGCTTGACTCTCCCCCACCCTCCCACTCTAGATGGTGGAGAAGACGGTGGAGCACCTGGAGGCAGAAGTGACAGGTCTGCTGGGCCTGCTGGAGGAACTGGCTTCAAACCTACCCCCAGTCCTCAGTCCTCAACCTGACCTGCTTGGAGACGGTGAGTGGCTCCAATGGCTGAGGGACGCCTGCTGGGCCTGTCTCCTAGGGCCCCTGGCAGCAGAATGCACAGGGGGTGCTGTCTATGCAGTCCCAGCAACTGAGTACCTCAGTCTCCAAGAATCCTGGTTTCTGTGCTCCTCCATCTATTCTCACCATCCATTGGCACCCCGGATGCCCAGGCCATCCCCCAGCTCCCTGAGGCCTGTTTCTTGCTGCTGCTGTCCCAAGTGATTGTGAAGCTGGAGGCGATAAGTCACTGGGCTCAGCAAGGACAGGGAGCCCTTCAGCATCCTCTGCTGCTCACTCGGGAACCCTCTTCTCTTGCAGATCTCTTCTGACCACCAGGGGTCAGAAGCCAGGAGCCTGTCATCCCTTTGAGAACCAAGCCAGATCTTGCCTTCCTGCCCTGCATGTGAATAAAAGCTACTTAGGCTGCTGTGTCTGCTCTTGTTTTGACCTCTGAAACCAGAGCCCCAGCTCTTTCTATCTTGCACCAAGCCCCACATGCTGTTCTAGCCCTAAGTGCTGGATAACCTGTGTGTCCAAACTTCCAACCTTCTAGGGACAAACCACAGAGACTGACTCACAGAATGTGAGACTCCTGAGGCCTCGAGTGGTAACCGGCCCAAAAGGTCCTTCATGCAGCTTTGCTATTCAAACTTGACCGCAAAACAGCAGCCAGTGCCACCCAGGGGACTGTCAGAAACGAAAGATCTGGGTCCCATCCAGCAACCCCCGCCCCCCATCAGAATCTCTGACTTCATGTGATTCCCCACCCTGACCACCTGGTGGCGAGGGGTTTGGGTGCCCACTGAGAATCTCGTTACCTGGTTGGGAATCTAGACACATTTCCAGCCTTTTTATTTCTTTTTTAATTGTATTTCAGTAAACAAACTTCACATTACGTAAAATTCACTTTTGGGGAGTGGAGGTAGGGACAGCACGGCTCACCATGTAGCCCAAGTGGGGATTAAAGGTGTACACCCAGCAAAACTCACCAGTATTACCTGCACAAATTGTGGTTTCTATTGTGTTCATCGCGTTACAAGTCAGCACCATAATTCCATGGCCATTTTCAACACCACAGAAAAAAACCCAGGCCTACACACCTCCTCTCCCAGCACTCTAGAAACCATGCATCTTCCTGGACTTGCCTTAGGGGCTCCTTCTGTGAAAGGAATCATGAGTGCTATTGTATCAGGCTTTCACTGGACAAGTTCTGAAAGTCCACCCTTGCAGTGTGTCTTCCTTTATACAGCTGGATGACATTCTATTATATCACTAGACTTGTTTGCCCACCTGTCAGGGGCTCTTTGCGGTGTGTGCACTTTGGGCTGTGAACGTAATTCACGACACTGAGCGTCATCTCTCCTCCCCCTGTGGGGGAGAAGTGAGGATTGGTAATCCGCAGCTGGCTACTCCACTGAGGCCTCTCTGGAGTTCTGGCCAGGGCCCAGGAGGCTAGACAGGTACCTGATTCTCTATAATGTGTCATTATCTGGAGTTTTCTAACACAGGGACATGACAGGAAACCCCCACCCCCACCCCCCGCCGCCACTAAGCCAAGCTCTATGCTCCTGGGCATGACAATGAATCCTAGAAATTGTTCCTGCCAGTTTCCTTCTCTGGATACCAAGGAGCAGAAAGCATGCAGGGCGAGCCAAGAGCGTCCTTCTGACACAAGCTCCCAAGGTAACACGCTGCTGGGGCACCTCCCTGAGAGGTCACCCCCAAAACCACATAAATTCCTTGCTGTCCTTTCCCAGGACCTGGGCGACCAGCCATTCTTTTGACCTGGTTTTTAAACTCTATTTTATTGAAGTATTTAAGCCTCTACTTCCCTTCCACCAACCTTTTAACCCTAGGAGAGAGGTTAGTGGGGAGAGGAAGTGCAGACCCCTTTACTTCTCCTAGCTGTTTAGGGCTTATGGGTTCTTTTGGGGCTATACTAGTTTTCGTCAACAGCAAATGCAGCAAGCCATCTCATTCAAGCTGCTGCGTTAAAGCGTTTCTCACCACCTGTGTCCTCCAAGCCTTCACAGCAGCCGTTTCTGGTCCCTCCAAACTGCCACACCTTCTCTTTCTAGCTCAGTCCTAGACCACACCCCTCTCTGTGTTGTGCTGCGTCAGGCAGGCCTTTAACCAGCTCGCAAAGACCACGCCCCAAAGGAGGCCATTATCAGCTATGGACAAACTAAAGCCCAAACTAAAATCCCACCCTTGGAGTTAGAACAAAAACATATTTACATCATATAACTGAGGTTTTAAAGAAATCAACACTTCAATTACACGCAGGAAATTCTACCCCCTCTGCATCTGGCTCCAGTCCTGTGCCCCATCATTACCTGGGCTCTATGTAGATCTAGAGAGCATCTTTAACACATGCTTAAAACACAACCCCTGCCAAGTAGCTTATGCTTGGGATTTCCCCAGTGTATGTTTCTAGTTCAGCACAGGGCCAGAACCCCAGTCAGAAAGTGGAAGAAAACACGCCGGCACCAGAAAGACATTTCCAGAATGTTCCAGAGCTGGCTGACTTTAATTTGGAAACAGCTTTTGGCTACAGACATTCAGGTTTAAGGCACATTCCAAACTACAAGGAGCTCTGTCATTGGCAGGAGGCTGGCTTTAATTCTTGCATGATTTTGCATGGAAAATGGAACAAATGATTTTCTGGCCTTTTTCTAAAAAGAAGTGAGTTTGGCAAAAACAAAACTCATGATGAATTCTCACCAGACGCGACAGTACCCTTACAAGACCTCCCGTTTATCACAGGCAAGGACAGGGTACCCGCCCACTCTCCTTAGAAACATGTATATAGTAAATACGCTTGTATGCATCTCTCTGGCAATGATGGTAAAAAAGTTTTCAAATAAAAATATAAAATCACATGTCTATGACACAGCTAACAGTCTTAGCCACAAGCAATGAGGAATGATTGCAGGAGCTAGGAGAGAAAAACATCTATTCTGAACAGCAAAAGGCTGTGAGGGCCTGGGAAATGGCGGCCTGAGAACCCTGGCCCACCTGGGCCCTTTCGGCACAACATGAGGATGAGGAGGGACCAGAAGGGAAAGGCCATGGCTTTAGGGAAGAAATGGTGTGCCTGGGGATATTGGATGGATTAGGAAAAACCAAAGGATGCTCTTTGGGTCTTCCTGGACAATGGCAGCAGGGGCAGAGGTGAGGAACTGTCTCTGCTCAGTCGTTGCCACCACAGATCTTCAGCAGAATCTTCCGGTAGTCCCCAGAAGTGTCCCCCTGGTTACAGAAACAACAGAGAGGGTTAAGGGAGCCAAGACCACTTCCTTTCTGGCCCCAAGTGTCCTTGTGGAGAAGCACCCCTGTCCAAGAGTTCCCACGCAGAGTATGCAGTGCAGAGACCTTCCCTGAACAAGTTCTGTCCAGTGTCCCCAGACCCTACGTCAACAAAAGCCAAAGGCTGGCGTGATGGCACGTGTTTGTAACCCAGCACAGGAAAGGTGGAGACAGGCAGCTCCATGAAGCGTAGATCACTCTAGCGTAATCAGCAAGCCCCAGGTCCCAGTCAGAACCTAGCTCGAAAATCAGCATGAACAGCTCCTGAGAAATGACGCCCAGCGGTGACTCTGGCCTCCACAGGCATGTGTGCGCGTGTGCACAATGCATACATGCGGTATCAGTCACCTACTGCCAAAGCCAGATAAACACCTACAACATTTGAATCTGCCTAAGGATCACCGTCCAGGCTAATCACTGCTCTTGGCCTAGAGCATTTATATTGGGGTTCTACTGTAAAGCAATACTATTGTCCCACCTTGGAAGGCCATCTTTGTGACCACCCATGGAGAACACCACTACTGCTACAACCTCTACTTCTCAGATCAGTCTCTGTGCTGTGCTCGCTCACGGCAAGGTCTGTGACCTCTTTAGCTACCACAGCCTACTCGACACCCAGGCCACACTCTGGCAGTAATGACAAATTCTCTGCTACCCTCATTTCCATAGCACGGCCGTGGAGGCCGTCTTTTCTTCAAAGATGAGCCCAACAACATAGCAAATGCTGTTGAGGCTGACCGGGCCCTGCAGTGCTGGTGACTAAGTGCCAACTTCTGCCAGCCCAGCTGTGCCACAGGGTGTTTCTTCCAGCATTTGTGTAGACGGCCGCCACCATCGCAGCTGTGCAGCAGAGACCTGGGGCGGCCGGGCGGTCTTCGGACACTGCTCAGGGGTCATGAGGTTACCAAGTATTTCCAGGATCTGACCACCCAGGCTGTGACCCCAAGGCTGAGCTACCTATGTGGTCTCCACTGTAAAGTGAATGGGGAAAAAGCTAGACTTCAGGAGGCCAGAGCTGAGCCCCACAGACCCGTGGGACATGAGCTCTCCTTGGTGAAGCACATCTCCAGAGTGATGAGGACTCTAAAGGTCAGGGATGCGGTAAAATAGGGCCTGAGACTTCTTTATGCCATTGACAGACACTCTGTTCAGTTACCATGCACTGAGATCCTAGAGGGTGGGAGCACAGGGTCATAGGATTGGGACCTGCTCTATCCTTGAAATTTTGTGATCAGTTTGGAGGCAACTGGATGAAGCCCACTCGGCCAAACCCAGGGCTGCTCTAGAGGAGACAGGAAGGAGAAACGAAGGGCCTGGAGGTATTGGGATGGGAGAGATGGCCTTGTTGGCCCCTGATCCTTACCGTGATGTCATGGTACAGTGACTTGCCGTACATCCGCTTATACTCTGCTCGTATATCCAGGAGGTCAAGCTCGCTGCGAGACACCATGATGCGAATCAGCGTCCGGTCTTTTGTTCCTGCTCCCTAAAGAGTCATCCAGAGAGAGTATGTGCATGGGGCTTCTCCCCCCCCACCCTTCCTGAGGCCCCAGCCCTCCTGTACCTTTATACTTAGCCCCCTGGGAACCACCCAGATTAGGGCACCCTGCACACAAGAGCTACGTACCCTCATGGCCTTGTTGAGCCTTTCAGCAAAGAAGGCGGGGGTGTTCTTCAGGCATTTCACTATGAGAGAAACAAAGCACAAGGGCTGCAGGACACAGGACAGCACACACTAAGTGTCCTCCTAGGAAACCTGGACATCCAATCTGCCACCAACCATCTTCCTGCTGACTGCGAGCCCATGAATGCAACTCCACACAAGGCAGGACCACCGACCCAACCTCCTCCTTGGCACCACTGAGCAAAAACAGGGCTGTGCAGAGAGAGCACCGGGGCTTAATGTGGAGATGTTCCAACTTCATGGGTGCCTAGGCACAGGGCGAGGGTCAAACAGAAACACTCATGGAGAAACGGAGGCCAAAGGGATGTGGAGCTATTCTCAGGCCACGCAGAAAAACGAGAGTGTATGGTCTGTTCTAGACAGAGAGATCCAAGAAAAACATACTAAAAATAATGGGCAAACTGATGTCCTTTAACAAGTATAAAAAGAGGAGGTGGCAAGGAATGCAGGGCAAGAACCCAGCTCCATTAGGAAGTTGCTAGAGCGGCCAAGACTTGCGCACAGGGCACTCCCCACGCTGCAGGCCTGGCCAGTGCTCCCTAGAATGGGCCTGTTTTGCTGCTGCAAGTAAAAACCTTTCCATGTGTTTCCATCACAGACAGCTGACAATTGCCTGCAGGGGTGTATTTTTAGAGGAAACTTGGCAGGATGTGAGTCACCTCCCCAGGAGAGCAGCTGGACCGGCGCCCACTAATGCCCACAGAGCAGCTCCTTTCTGCAGAGCTGCACTGCAGACACAAAACCCAAGACCCCTCTGTCCCAGAGGCTGGGCACTCATGGATCCCACCAGCCAGATGGTCCAGATTAGCAAACTCAGATCCTGTGGTTCTCACTACAGCACCTTCCACCGAAGGACACTAAGTACCGGGCTTGCAACTCACACTGCCCAGCGGGCGAGCACACGGGCGAGCCAACCCCCGGCACTTACCCACAGCCAGCATGCCCTGCTCCAGGTCCCCAGACATCTCCCGGCAAATGCTCTTCTCAATGTCTCGGCCAGTCATCCTTTGATACTCGTTGAAAACTAGCAAGAAAGCAGAAGGGACAATGTCATAGTCTGAATCATGTTCTCCAGATTTCTATGTTGTGTCCTGACCCTCAGCACCTCAGAACAGGTATTAAAACAACGCCATGATGGTGGTCCCTCAGCCAAGCTAACTGGTGGCATCTACAAACAGGAGGTCGGGAAATGTGTGTGGACTGACAAATCTTGGCTTGCAATGGGCTGACTTGGGGTCCTTTTTCTTTTACTTTTCACATGCAGCCACAGCTCTCTAAGGCCTGGTAAGTACTCAGCACTTCATAATCACAAAGCACCAATGTATGTCAGTGTATTTTGAGTCTATTTCAGTTCATGCTGGGCTAAACTATGATTTTCAGTGTAAGGCATAATAAATACATTTTCGTGTGTGTGTGTGTGTGTGTGTGTGTGTGTGTGTGATTTAGTCACATCATATGACCCTTTGGCTTCAAGGGATTCCCCTGTCTCAATCTCTCATGTAGCTAGGACAATAGATAGATATGTGTCACTACCCAGCTTTTATTTCTGACCTATAACATTTTCAAATGGAAGTGTTAGATACCATCTCATCACAAACTGAGGAACATCTATGTAGGAAGAAACCACACCAGGACACAGCAATGAAGAGGCTCATCCGCAGAGAGAAAGAGAGGCCTCAGAAGAAGCCAATCCTGGCAAGCTTATTAGCATCCAAAATGCTTACAAAAACACATTCCCGTTGCTTGAGCCCAGCCCACAGTACCATCAAGACAACAAAACTGAGAGGAGACCCACCCATGAGAGTCCCGTCTCTTTTTCCCTCTGCCCTGGACAGCCTGACTTCTTTGCAGCTGACAGGAAGCCCTTCTCTCCACAGTAAGTCTAACGGTGCTGCCTCATGCCCTGCAGTCAGGTGACCCTTTCCAGGCAGTCTGCTTATGTTTACCCATCTTTTGTGTGTATGAGTGGGTGGGGGTTCAAGACAGGGTTTTACTGCATAGCCCTGGCTTTCCTGAACTTGCTCTGTAGGCCAGGCTGACCTCTAACTCAGAAATCCACCTGCCTCTTCCTCTAGTGCTAGGATCACAGCACTAGTGCTTGGCTCTTGTTACCCATCTTAACCTACACTTAACAGTATCCTCCTCAAAATTCCACATTCGGGCACTCGCCCCTCATTCGTTCATGCACAAAGTTCACCTTGCTCTACCTGTGAGCCACAGCCCACTCAGATACTAGCCACACTGTTCTGTTATAAACCTTTATAAACTCAGGAGCTGCGGAGTGCCTCAGAACAGGCTCTTGGTTCCGAGGAGGAGGAGGAATCTTCAAACTGCTCTTCTCTCCCTCTGGTCCTCTCTCAAGATGACCTCTCACAGCCCAAGGCCTCAGGCACTTGATCCCTCATAGCTCCCAACCTTCCTAGCCCAAGACCTCTCCTGCCTCCCCAGCTCATCAGCACACTATCTTTCTGATGTCCTCTGCTCCCAATGTCTAGTCTATCAATGGCCACTCCCTCAGCTGAGAGAATCCCTCTGTCCTCCTAAGTCCCCTCACTCTGACATACCATGTCCAGCTTACCAGCAAGCAGGCTGGACTCTGGTTCCTTCTGGCCCAGCTTCCATCCAGGCTACCACCAACTCCTCCTAGGTCACCGCATGGCTTTCTACCTGATCTGCTCAATGGTGGATCTTTCATTCTCCTTGCGTCACACCCAAGGCCCAGGTCACCTAGGGAATCTGGGCAGCATGTTGCTCTGCAAGCTGAGGGAATGAGATAACTCCACTGAGAGCCCTCCTGTGGCTTCTAGGCTCTCAGGATGAACACCCAACTCTGCAGAGCTGTCTACCACCTCTGACCTCACCTCCTGCTACTGTCACTCTATTTGCTCCAGATACATGTATCCCCTTGGCTATGCCTGGGCCATGCTGGAAGGCCAGCAGGGCTTTTGCTTGCTTTGGTGTCTTCACTGGGGGCTTTCGATCACACAGCCTTATACCAGAGAGGACTGCCCCAGCCCTCCATTCCATCACCTTCTACCCATTTGCAGCCCAACCTTTTTCTCTACACATTTGCCACCAGCTCCAGGTTGTGCTGAGTATTTGTCTAACATGAAGCTGAAGCCAAGAAAACAGACTAAGCATCTCCACCATCTGATGGACAAAAACCCACTTTTATGTATTCAATAAGCTAAACAAATGTTACCCAGCATTGCTGGAAGCAATTTTTTTTTTCTTTTCTTTTTGTTTTTAGTTGTTGTTATTGGGGGAAAAGGCACATCCCATGTGTGTGGAGGTCAAAGGACAACTGTGGCTTTGCCTGCTGGGCCAATGCTTTCCCTACTCTGATATCCTGTATTTCAGTGCTTGGCAATCTACTTCCTCATTTTTTTCCTTTGTCCTAGAAGCAGTTTGTAGATGCCACTAGGAGGCTCTTGAGGAAGTGAAGGTCTACGAAGAAAACACCAGCCGAACATTCTGCAGGCTTTCTTTTCATGTAACCGACCTAGTACTGTCTTACCTGCCACCAGGTGGGCCCGGCTCCGGGAGCACAGAATGGCGTTGAACTTGGACTCATCTGTTCCTAAGCGGTTCTCCCCAGCTGCATACAGCTCCTAGATGGAGAGGAAGACGCATGTGTCCAGCAAGCATCATCTAGGTCCCAGGCTCAGAGCACCTAGGTAACATCTAACCCTGTAAAGCCCAGAGGGGAAGGGCAGGGCTCTAGCAGTGAGAGTATGAGTTTGCCGAACCCTGGAGGCTTTGCTCGCTGCAGACCCAGACCCCACCAATCCACGTCCTCTCTACACATAGCACAGAGGATTTTTGAGTCCAGACCCAGTATCACAGAGGAGGGAATAGAAGCCCGGACTCAGGTGCTAGCTCTCAAGCAGCGTGCAACGGAATGCTAGCCAGGGCTCTAACTCATGAGCCTCAATCTCCTCATACAGAAAAATGTAACAACTAGTACTGACTTGAGGTCAAGACCTTGAAGCCCAAGGGGCCACATGGATAACTTAGCCGAAAGAAAAAGTTTAGTGGAAGAGCTAAAAGGGATGGATCCTAGCCAAGTCCTCAGGGGTAGCACTTCTCTGAGGTGGGACAGAGGAGCACAGGTCCTCAGCTGACAGACCCATGCCTCAGAAGAAGCCAACTGCCAGATTTCTATGTGCAATCTCCTAGCCACGGAAAGTCGTTTATAAGCAACACGTGTAGCCATGATGGCTCCTGCACTTAAGAACTCGTTACAGAGGTGAAGAGCAATGAGTAGGCATTGAATCCAATACCTCTGCCTCCCACAGACACCAGGTGCACGCATGGTTCAGACACGTGCGCAGGCAAAACACTCATACATATACAATACTTAACAAATATATAGATGCGGGCTTCCTCAGTCTTTCCTCCACGCCTCACTGCACACATCATCATGTTTGCTCAACAGCACAATAGCTAGGTAAAGCCTACGAGGGTTGGAGCCCCTAATATTTGCCAATCTGCTACCTTGCCCCAGACCTCCGAGAGGCCTTCCAGGCCTCAGACAGTCATGGGGAAGTTAAGGGCACTGATAACCCAGGACATTCTCAGGTTGAGATCCCTCAGGACACGGTGATGTTGAGAAGGTCAGGAAGGAAAGAGGCAGAGCAGCAGTCAGCCTTTCAGGAAAAGGGGAAGTCTGGCCATCCCACTACGCCAGTAAGACAGTCTGAACTGGAAAGCAGGCAATGCAAATTTATATAGCTAGAGTTTCAGATGCCTGTGCTTTCCTCCTTTTGCCTGCAACTCATAAGGTGACACAGGCAGACATTTAAGGATGCAGGGCTAAAGTGACAGCTCCTTTCTAGGAGCTGGATAGACAGGTACCTTTGCACACCTAACAGTATCTATGTGGTAAAGTACCAAGCCATGCCAAGTCCCACATCCCCATGATCTTCAACAGCTGTAGCTGTTGCTGTCCCTCTCACAGGTGGGAAATCCAGGTTTGGCACCCTGTTCAATGTCAAGCCCCTGAGCACCTCAGGAAGCCACAACATGCAGAACCCACCACTGTCCATCACTCTTTCCATCCCTGGGCCCCTAGTTACAAAGCTCTGGTTCAGCAAGCCCACAACTGGCACCTCGCCAGCTATCATACTCACCTGGGCATCTCTCTGGACAAGGGACATGTCCACATTTGTACTCTCATCACGGTTTCCCTGAAAGGAAGGAGGCTGTAAGGCCAAGCTGTGCTTTGAAAGACCATATCCTCTCTCCTCACTCATTTGCCAGTACTTTGATCCCCCCAGCCTCTGCCACCAATTCTCTAACAGCCTGTTGTAAGGAAGGTACCTGAGAGAGAGAGATGAGGAGCCGCTGGAAGTGTCCTGATGTGTCACTTCGAATAGCCTCCTCCAGAGTCTTTTTGAACTCTGAAAGAAAGACAACAGGGTCTATCCTATAGATATTCTACCTCTAAAGACATAATTAGCAGAGGGCATTGACATGGCAAGGATTCAAGGGTCTCAAGCTGGAGGTGGCAGGTGGCTCACCTTCCAGGCTCATAAGCTTGTGATGTCAAGGTGACTTGACCTCTGGTCAGGCTTGGCCCAAACCCCAGCCAAGATTTTCTCAGCCCCTTTCAACTATAGGCACCTGCCCTGTGTGTAAACAGCAGGTAGGGCTGGGCCTTGGGTCAAAGCCCAGGAAGTTGGGCGTAACAGGAAAGAGGGGATAAGGAGGCCAGCGACAGGAAACAGGGGACAAGGAGGCCAAGGACTAAGAGCCCTATAAGAGGGTGTGGCCAGTGCCCAGGCAGCTTCTGACCTGTTTTGTAGGCTCTGCTTATTTCCTGGATGTGTTCATTATTTCGGGAAGCGAGGATCTCAATTAGACAGGCCTCATCAGTACCAGCTCCCTATGATAGCAGACAAAGAACGTAACAGATCTCATGCTGGCGACCAGGCCCTCATTGGCACCCAGGAAGGACGGCCCGTTACAAACACCCCTACCCCGACTCATGCCTGAAGCCAGCTCCCCTCCCAGCCCCAGAAATGAGATAAAGACAGGGTAATGAGTATGCACCACATGAGGGGTCATCCACACGGAGCAGGCAACTGAAAGAGGGGAGAGTGTGCAGTGACTGTCCGATGTCACACCCTGCTGGGTCAGGCTGAGGTGCAGATCAAGGTTTCTTTCCCTCCTCCCAAGTTTGGGCAATAGATGTGTGTGTGTGTGTCCTCAAAAGCAAAAGCTTTTGAGTCATGAGTGAACTGTCTGGACATATCTTAAAAAAGAAGCCAGATGGAATGAAAGAAATGGCTGTGCCCGGGACAGCAGGAAGGTAGAAAATGGGGTCAGAGGCCTCGCTTTTATATCAGTCTGAATCTTGGCTCTGCAGCTTACTGTGTGAACTCAGGCAAGGCTCTTAACTTCTTGTGCCAAGTCTCTTGTCTATCAAGGGGATGCATGCGTACCTACCACCTAAGGGGTCCTTAGTGGACTAAGTGGACTCACTTGTGCAGAACATCTAGCCAATATGGTGTTTTTATGATCACCACTGCCCGCCTGCTATCAGCAGCTTCCTGGAACTTACAAAAGATGTGCACGCTAGCACCTTACCCCAACCCCCCTGCAGGTCCTGAAAGAACACCCAGTCTTCCACTCACGGATACCCAGGTACGTAACAGCTTCTCCGCACAGGGAACCCCTTGCCTATGATGTTCTAGCATTCCACCAACTTCTCATAAGCTGCTGGAGGCGGGTACTGACTACTCCTGGGCCCAGGCCACTGCCGTCCTGTCCCCCCTCGGCACCCTCTAGACTATGGATTTCAGCCAGTCTTCTCTCCCTTCCAGACCACGCACAAAGCTCTCAGCCTCTAGGGAAGGTAGAGTCTGTGCCAGGCGTGCCTCTGAGTGAGTGGCTCTTTTGGGGTGCTTGAGTAGGGACTCTATATTCACAGGACACACATAGCTACATGTCTGTAGGGCACAGATGGGACCTGGCCCCTGGTCAAAATCAACTAGACCTAAGAAGACAGAGATCCCACGCTAAGCTGCAGGAATTGGCCCTGTGTTGAATTCGGGTCCTCCAGAGATGGATGACTGGGATGTACATGGCCGTGGGGACAGACATCTCTGGATATAGGACAGACACAGCAGACAGGACAGTGAGGTGGGGGCTCAGGAACTGGTAAGACGTCTCTGTCTTTTTGTATCTCATTTCCAGCCCTACCTCTCCCCACCCCCAATGGGGTCTCTTCCTCTGCTGCTTGAGCTCCTCAGACATGATGCTGCTACTTGCTAAGAACAGTCCTAGTGAATGAGAACAAACTACAAAGCCTGGGGCCCGCTCTCATTGTCATCAGTGTTCTCCACAGCCCCAGCCTGGTCATTACATCAGATATATGTTGACATAGATATTCCCTGTGAGGAATGGCATGTTACTTGCCTCTTGGAAAAACTACTAGCTGGGCCGGCTGCAGCCAGGGATGCCTGGAAGTCAGGCCGGGCAGCAACTGGTAAGTGGGGAACACAGCACCCAGTCCCTTCTGCCTGCGCTGTAGCTATGCATACATGTGGAGGCAGGCTCACACAAGCACAAGAACACACCTTGATGGCTTCCTTTATCTCATAGACATCAAACAGGACCGGGGTCTTCATCAGGGCCAGGATAGTCTTCTCAAAGTTCCCCGACAGTTCTGATTTTAGGTCTTTGATCAGATCCTGGTTGGACAAACAAACAAAATCTCATTTTTAAAAATCCACAGACGAAGAGCACTGCAGACAAGGAAGATGTCGGTATCAAGACCAGCCATGGGGAGAAGCCTGAGCTACAGCACTAACATACTCAGTATTTTTGTACACTTCACCTAGGACTCAAAACCCTGGAAGCTCAAAACACAATCCCCTTAAGCTTCTTCCACCAAAGCTCTTACATCAACTAAACCTGGATAAACTGAAAGCAGAGGGGAAAGTGAGGCCAGGTAGGGGAGAACTGATCTATCTACAGGCTCATCTTGGCAGAGCCAAGGCTAGAACCTGAAGCAAGCCTAGCTAGTCTCACTGTCCATCCTGGAGATTCAGTCCTACGAGGCCCCAGTTCCAGAAAAGCAGAGTAAGTGGATCTGTGGCTGTGCTGGTTGTAGGCTCTAGAGCTTGGCTTGGGAGAGCCAGACCTCGTTGGTCTCCCCGCATTGCCCCTCTGCATCTCACCTTGCCATAGGCTGTCTTGAAGGACAGGAGAATCTGCTGCCGCTGCTTGTTGGAACGGCTCCCTAGGCAGTCAATGATGGCCTGCTCATCGGTGCCTAGAAAAGAGGATGGAGTAGGCACACTTTGGATTATGAGGATGCTCTGTTGGCCACAGACTGTCCTAGCACCTCCCCTTCATTCTCCTGGGCATGTAAGACAGTTCCTCTTCCATCTCCCTAGGGCCAGGCTTGCCTTCCCTTGCTATAGTGAACCACCTGGGGAACCAGGGACACAGGTGCAATTGAAATCAGTGTGGTCTCTTACCAAAGCCCTTCATAGCCTTCCGCAGAACTTCAGCATCTCTCAAGGGGTCAAACCCAGAAGCATCTGTGATGGTTCCTCGGTTTCTAAACTACTTAGACAAATAGCCACAGGTAAGATGATCCACCCATGCCATCCCAAGGCATAAGAACTCTTTTATCTCCTCCTATCCCCAAAATAACCCCTTCTCTAAGAGCTGAGGTACCTAAAGGAGCCTGAAGTCAAAAGCACTGGACATGAATAGCTCTAAGACTCGTGTGTGGATGGTAGTGTTTAGAAAGTAGCTACTGTTAAGAAGTAGGGTAGAGCAGGCCCTTGGAGAGGATACTGAGGCCCATGCCCCTTCCATTGTTTCCTGTCTGCTATGAGGTAGACAACTCTGGTTCACCAAGTGTTCTCCCTGTCAAGATGATCTGCCCCACCACAGGCCACAGTGACAAGGCCAGGCAGCCATCAATAGAAGCTATGAGCACAAAGCAACTTTCCTCTTTTTAAGGTGTGTCCCCTCGGGTGTTTACAAACAGGCTTGCTGTAGCCTCCTGAGTGGCTATTATGTGCTGGTTATCAGGACAGTAAGGAGATACGCTCTGAGAAGAGATAGGGAAACAGTGGGTGGCAGTGCAGAGGTGGGACAGAGAGGCAATGGACTCTCCGTCTAAAATAATCAGCCAGCACATACCACTAGGCCTGGTTTGGCCATGCAACTATGACAACGAATTCTAGACACTGCAAACATGAGCTACTCTCTAGAATGGCGCAAGACAAACCGTGCCTGGAGGAACTGCCAATCTTCCCTACCCAGAGAGGACTGTGAGAATTTTTCACGTTTGTCTAGGAGGGCATATAAGGGGCCTATTGGGCATGAAGCCATGAGACTGGAGGCTTCAGGGGAATCTCACATGAGGAACAACCATGGCGGCAGTGCTTCCAGACCTGGGGTGGGGAGCGCAATAGAAATCAGAACTCTTGTTAAAATGATGCGGTGTAGGTGGGCCAGAGACCAGCCTTTGAACTTTTTTTCTGAACCAGCACTCACCTGAGCTGGAGGCACAGCAGGGGTGACGGTACTGGATCCTGAGTATCCTGGGTAACTTGGCACTGGCTGCTGCCCAGGGGTTGGCATTGGTGATGGTCCAGGATAGGTCATTGGAGGTTGTCCAGGATAGGCCCCTGGAGGCTGTTGCCCAGGGGGTGGCATGGACTGGCCCGGCACAGGGGCCCCTGGGTATGCTGGATATGAGGACACCCCGGGAGGTGGGTTTCCCCCTGGTGGTGGATACATGCCATAAGGAGGGACAGGCTGCTGGGCAGGAGGGGGCTGCCCAAAGCTACCGGGGGGAACTGGAGGATAGCTACCCCCGGGAGCCCCAGGATACAGGTTTGGCATGTTGGCTCCTCCAAATGTCCCAGACATGTTGCCTGCCTGCCAAGTACAAAGCAGAACCTAAGACTCATAGGCTCAGAAAGATTAGCACCCTGTCTGTCTTCCCCTTATGGAGTTCTGCATATATAAGGAGCCTCCTAGCAGAACCACCCCCTCCCTTGAGTACCATGTACACCTAGCAATGGAGGCAGGCACACGATGCTAGGCTCATTAACCCTCACGCCCATGGGACAAGAAGCATAACCCTGCCACGGAGGATGCCCAGTGAGCAGAGCACCTGGGCTCTGAGATGGGCTGTGTATGCAAACCAGAACCTCTACTCCATCTGCAAGAAGCATGGAAACATGGAAGAGGCTGCTTCTTCCAACCAAGACCCACAGTAGAGCTAACCACTCAAAAGACTGAGAAGGTACAGGAGCTCCTTCTGCAGGCATGGGTGGCTCTGTAACATCAGCCTGCTAACAGTCAGCTGAGGAAAGTGAGGCTGGAGGGATTTGCACCTGCCTAGAACAAAGCCTCTTATGCCCAGTGAGAAAAGGATTCCACCATCTCCAGCACTCACTCTAACTATCTAACCCTCACTTTCTCCTCTTCAACCACCAAGGCCTTCTCACTGTCCCCAGACTCATCAGGCCCATGGGCACGTGCAAGACTGGCTGTCCCTAGACATTCACACAGCACATTTTCCACCATGTCAGATCTCTGTTCAAGGTCCCTCAATCCCCACCTTACGTTTCCCAGTCTACATTATCCCACCAGCACCTCTGACCTTTACCCTATCAGTACTTTCCAGTCTACCCCTCCATCCTGTGCTAGGGATTGAACCCATGGCCTCATACATTCTAGGCAAGCACTGTATCACTGACCATTATATCCCCATTTCCCTATCTACTTATTATGAGACAATGTCTCACTAACTTGCCCCAGGCTGGCCTTGAACAAAATGTTGTAGCCCAAACAGGCCATGAACTTGGGATGCCCCTGCTTCAGCTTTCCAAGAAGCTGAGATCATAAGCCTCTGCCACCAGGACCATGTATCTACTTTCCTATCTTCCTTATTCTCCACCCTCTGCCCTTCCTTCGATTCTTTGTTTGGTTTTGACAAGATTCTCTCTATGTTGCCCAGGGTGGGCTGGAATTTTCAGTCTTTATGAATTCACTTACCAAATGCTAAGTGTATGCCAAAGACACCTGCTACTTTTAGTATTGCCACCTGGTAACGTATGCTGTTTTCTGTCTCCTCTCCACAGATGCTAAGTGTGCCTGAGCTGAGATGTGTGTGTGTGCAGGTGCATGTGAGGCAAAGGTCACATCCTGCCTACCTTGTTTGAGACAGCATCTATCACTGGCCCTGGGATCACCATGTGGGCGAGACTGGCTAGCTGGCAAGCTTAATGGAACTTCATGTCTCCATCTCCCTAGCCCTGGGATTACAAGAACCACACCTAGCTTCTTTCATGTGGGTCCTGGGAGTTGAACTCTGGGCCTAGTGCTGGTATAATGAGCACTTTACCACCTGGGCTATTTCCCCAGCCCAGGGATTTTGTTTGCTGTACTCACACATTCCCAGTGCCTAGAACCAGGCCTGGAATAAATCTGGGTATCTACTAGTTGCAGTGTTCCCACTAAACACACTTTGTTTTCGGATTATCAGATACACTCTTCAAATAGCAAAACAACAAATAAAAACAAGTATGCCCTAACCTACTTGCTACATGGCCACCAAGAACCAACGAGATCAGCACTATGTGTGTTCACCCCCTCACCTCACCACACACCAGCCCACCTTCCCTCCAGGCTCTGTGCTTTGCTCATGAGACATTCTCAACAAACTTCCCTGCAGGCACCAGCCTTACCCAACCCCCCAGGACCACAAGAACCTGAGGGACTATCAGCTCCAAGACTCTCTTTTCCTCACAGAGATCGGGAAAGTGTGGCTCAGAGACGGGTGGTAGTAAGCAGGTGACCCTGAGAGTCTAAGTTGCTGCTCAGCACTCTGTGCTCACAGGAACAGGCCTGGTATCTTGCTGGAGCCTTGGGGTCAGCAACCTTGAGCCCTACAGCCCTGTCACCACTAGCCCAGGGGCACATTGGCAGGGTCATGACTTACCATGCCTGAGAGGTAGTCCTGGTTGAACTGCCCTGCATAGTTGGTCACGTTATCCAGCCCGATAGGGGGCATGCTGGGAGGAGGGTAGCCAGCACCTCCCCAGGGACCACCACCTGAAAGCAACACCAAGCCATCAACTTCTGTATCCCTGGTTCAGTGAAAGGGCAGAAAGAAGGGCTGCAGAGAGATCTGGTACTGTATTGCTATTGGAGCCAAGCAGAGCTCCAAGCAATGTTATAAAGACCCAGAAAGGATGGAACAAGACGGTCAGCCTCTGTGGGGATCCAGGCACGCTTCGTCCTCTCAAACTGAGCATCAAGGGATTCGAGACAGATAAACCCTTGGGCTCTGTACTAAGCATGTGACATCAGTGAGCTCCACAAATACTAAAAATTCTCAGATGGAGGCAAGCAGGGCCATGTCAGAAGAAATGGAAACCATCAAGAACAGTAGCAAGGAGTTCATTGGGAGAGCACGGCTGGCTATATATCCCTGGGGCAAGGCTCTTAACCACTCTCACTCATGTCTGCAGACCATGACAAAAGTGACCTCAGGCTGCTGGGGTAAGGGCTGAGGAGTAGACACCTGCATAGGGCCGAGCCAACAACATGGTCATCACTTGCCAGATGCATTCTCACTCAGGGCAGTCTGAGTCTGCTCTGCATCTCCTGGGCTTTGCAACACTCAGGCATGCTGTCGCAGAAGGCAGAGTTTCTGCTGGAGAGGGGACTGAGGTCACTGTACCAAGTCGGAGAAAAGGCTCAGCTCAGCTGAATGTGTTCTGTGACAGTGGCTAACACATTTGTCTGCTTCAGTTTGTTCATTTTCTGCTGGACTCCCTCAATGGTAACTATCCTCACACTGGCCCTTGTCTCCTCCTTAACCAGAAGCCCTCACATTTCCCTCACTACTATGGAAACCAAAGTTTCAGGAAACATTCTAGGGCAGGGCAGGGCAGGGCAGGGCAGGGCAGGGCAGCTGCATCCTCAGAAGGAATATAAGCTGTGCCACTGTCTCAGTTGTGTGGTCTCATGCTATCACCAAGGGATCCTGGAAGGTACAGGGAGGAGTGGGCATACAGGGAAGGACAGCGATCCTTGGTATTGGCCTCAGTGGGAGAAACCCCAACGCTGCAAAATCCAAAATTCTCCTGGAAACAGGGTGGGTGTACTAGCAGGGTGTGGAGGCACTCCTACAGTCCTTCAATGCCGGTCTCCTGGAAACAGCTAGAGAAGGGAAAGAACCCTGAAGCTATTTTGCAAGGGAGAAGAAATCTCAGAGTTTAGCAGGCCTTTGGCCACCTGTGGGCTAATAAGAGCCCCAGACAGAAGCAGCCAAATTCAGACCTCTCCAGCCCTTGTCCCCCATAGATAGGCCCTCTGGGGCATAAGAGAACCATACTCCACCTTTTGTACAAAGGGTCCACCCAGGTCCTCTTACCTGGTGCAGCTGGAGGGTAGCCACCGGGAGGTGGCGGGTAGCCTGGGTAGCTCATGGGTAGAGCTGGAACAGAAGGGAAAGTGCGATCAGACTATGTTGAACGTACTCCCACCAGGCCTGCTGGGATCTGCTTCTTGGAAACAGAACCAACTGTCAGGACCTCACAGGAATTAACTCCCCATCCCCCAGTGCAACCCAGTCCATGCCTCCCTGCCCGGCCTCCAGGTAGGTCAGGCCCACCCCAAGGCTACAGGAGGGTGGAATACCACAAGTCCGCTGCCATTTCCTTGACAGCTGTTCCCCCAGGCCTGATTTCTGTCCCCACCAAGGGTACAAAGTGTCTGGGGTCTGGCCCACTCCCTGACATCATATTCTACACGGAGCACTGGCCAAGACTCAGTGACTACTTGTCTCATCTTGTCTTTATCACTATCCTTTCCACAACAGGGGAGGACCCTGTTTCCCTGCATCCTAACTACAATCCTCAAGGTCACCCCAACAACACTCCAATCTCCCTTGGGTCACACCCAAGCCACAAGCACAGACTGGCTGCACAGTCTTTAAATGGTTGATCTATGTCTCCCCTGGGCAGTCCACTCTCTAACACAAAATAACATGGTTATTATGGGAGTCACCAATTTGAGAAACAAGGGATGCCCTCAGAAGGGCCTGTCTACTACAGAGCATCACATCAGGACAGGTAACAAAGCCCCCCAAAAAGTAAAAGTTACATGGAGGTGAAGCAGAAAGAGAAAGAGCCTAGGGAAGCAGATGAAAATAGCTGCTCTCACAGACCTCTTCAGCAATGTCTCGTTAGCAACTAAAACGCCCAAGAGGAACAAAGATCAGCCACTGTGCTGCTGCTGCTGCTGCTGCTGCTGCTGCTGCTGCTGCTGCTGCTGCAACAGGCACAAAGCCAGACCAAGGCCATGAGCGGGAATGCCTGGCATCAGCCGTCATGCCCACAGGTTCTAAGACAGCCACTCTGTTTCATACGTGGGCATTATTTATGCCAAGGGGCTGCTAAAACATCTAGGTGTAAAAATAATTGCACGGGCTTTCTATGTGCCTGTTCTAGCTACCAAATAATGAGCCGGAGACCTGTTATCCTTATTGAAGCCTTAAGCACTACAGCTGGGTATGTCCTCAGCTATTGTAACCTGACTGTGCTGGGCCTACTTCCCAGCCAATGTCCCATCAGTACAGCCTGGCTGCTCCTGTTCCAAGCCTGTCCTCACAGCAACTCCAGGCGACTTTCCCTCTCTGCTGTACCTGGGAGCCTCCTCCTAGGATTCCAAGTCCTGCCTTAACTCCCCTCCCAGCTATAGGCTGGTCAGCTCTTTATTAACCAATCAGAGATGATAAAGAACAGTTTTATACAACACTGAGACAGGAGATTCTTCAACAGTAATGACAATACCAGAATCTGTTAGCATTTATCTCAGCAATTAACAATCAAATATACAGAGACACACCTTAATACAATACGAATAAAGGTCACCTCTACATCAAGGGCTCCACCATCCATTTCTATCTGAATGAGTTCCCGGTACTGAATCTGGGATCCCCACTTTAATAACTGCTGTCTAGAAACTATCCATTTAAATAAAATCGTCTAGTTGCCCGTTGTGTCTACCTTGAAGAACTGAAAATGTTGTCCTAAGGAAGCTGCAGGATTTCCTTAAGGGATCACTGGTCCCCACAAAGTAGACCTGATTCCAGCCCACTTGTTTTGGACTCTGGGTCCAGAGAGGACAGTAGGCAATACAAGAGGAAACGAGGAGGGAGCTGGATCTGCTAGTTCACGGGCCCTAGACCTTTACACAGCTGTCTTTTCTTGCACGTGTGGCTCCTACCATGTATATCGGGCCACTCACAATTGCCTGTAACTCCAGCTTCAGGGATCTTAATGCCTTTCACCCTCCATGGACATGCTTTTTTATTTTTAGAGAAATAAGGCAAAAACATACAAACTAAAAGGTCTGTGCTCCATGCACAGACCTCGCTTGGCCCTGTACACAAGGCACTGGGTAACACTAGGTACCTCTGGAAGGAAAACAGGCTGGAGGTGAAGCTTGCTTTCCATGTAGGCACCACACATTCATGACTGCCTAATAAAAGTAACTTTAAGAAAAGGTCCAATTCACACAGGCATTTCTAACCACACACACGGAGCTACCCCACACACGAAATCCATCCCACAGGACCTTGGTGGCTCTTCCAAAATAAAAATAACACAACACAGGGCTCTTTCAGCTCAGAGCACCAGGACTCAGAAGGATAGCCCTCCCTCCTGAGAGAACTGTGGGGAAGTTTCCTGGCAAGAGTGGCATCCACCTTCTGGAAAGAGGCCTGTCCAAAGGCCTACATTGGCTAATTCCACTGCAAACTCAATCCTGCTGTGTCCCACAAGACACCGCTACCAGTCTCTCCCTCTCACAAGATTCATTTTCACACTGTTTTCCACCTGGGACTGTTTGAGACTGTTCTCCCTTCACTTTCCCTCTGAAGCACAGGCTAGCCCAGAGATCACAGGGCAGGATAGGATAGTCACTCCCCTCCTCTCTGCAGATGGAGCTTCCTACACCACTGCATGGGAACATGTCAGTTTTCTGGGTGGTGGGGCCATTACAGGGACTCCTGTGAAATTTCTCTTGTAGGTCTGCCCATGTCCCATCTCCTCAGTCTATGGCTATGGCGACTCACTACACCCATCTCAGCGCTCTCTCCTGTTCTACAACCACTGATTTGGTATACACAGCATCGTATTCTTCCAAGTAACGGAACACAAATGCATCAACGGCAGACACCTGCATGGTCACACTGAATTTCCTGCTGATGGACCTCATGAGAGGGTCCTCCTGCAGAGGACAGACATCTGGCTCTGCTTCTGTCAACACAGGCTTTCAATCAGCTCTCCCTCCCCCAACTCTGCCACCTCTGGGCCCATATCCTAACCACCTCAAATGCGAGCTATCACACTGTAACAGTTTGAATCTGTAGTGTCACCTTCAGGCTCCTAATTTGAACACCAGTTCTCAATGTGGTGCGTTATTTTGAAAGGCTTCAGAGACTCAGAAATGGGGCTAGCTGAAGTAAGTAGGTCTATAGGGGTAGCCCTTAGAAGGTTCCTGTCCTGCTTTCTCCACTTCCTAGTCCACAGTGAGGTGAGAAGCCTCTCTACTCCATGCCTTCTCCACCAGGACAGCCTAAAGATTCTCTCTCTCAAACTTTCTGTCAGATATTGTATGCACTGGGGCCCAGAATTAAGACATACATGCAATACCCTGTAGCTACTCCCAAACCAGACCTTCAGGCTCTACCTAGCTCCCGAGAGAGCTGGACAAGAACATCTAGGAACCTCACTGCCCTTCTCAGTTCTCAATCACCATGACAAATGGGAACACAGTAAGCTACTCCCCTAATGGGTCTGGCCAGCAGACATGCTTGCTCCCTTCCACCTGACCAAAGCCTTTCTTCTACCTTATCTTTCAACAGAGAAGAAAGGTACATGGCTGAGGGAAATCACATGCCCAAAACACAGCTAATGTGATTCGGACAGCCAGGCAGATCCTGTCCCATATGCCTGCTGCTGACGATGGCACTCAAACATGGCACCTCATGGGAGGGTCCTCCTGCATAGGACAGAGACATCTGGCTCGAATTCTGGTAACTCTGCCACAAGAGAGCTTCCAGCACCTGGTTCTGACTCTCAGGGAAACTACAGCACAAATGTCGCCCTTTCTTCCTCACTGGGACTATGTAGAAGCAGCTGTGCACATTCAAATAGCTGTGGCCCTCTCCAGCTTAAACATGTGTCTTAATTATGGTTTCCACTGCCGTGATGAAACAGCATGACCGAAAGCAACTTGAGGAGGAAAGGATTTATTTCAGCTTACAATTCCACATCAGTGGTCATGATCAAAGAGGACAGAACAGGATCTCAGGCAGAACAGGAACCTGGAGGCAGGAGCTCACACAGAGACCATGGAGGGGTGCTGCCTACTGGCTTGCTGTCCCTGGCCTGCTTTCTTACAGAACCTGGGGCCACCAGTCCAGGGATAGCACCACCCGCAATGGGCTGGGTCTTCCCCCATAAATCACTAATTAAGAACATGTCACACAGGCTTGCCTACAGCCCAGTCTTATGGAAGCATCTTTGCAATTGAGGCTCCCTCCTCTCTGATAACTCTAGCTTGTAATAAAACTGGCCAAAACAACTGATTCTATAAAAGTCCCCTGTGGAACATGTTAAACCCCAGACTGCTGGGCCTGCTGAGTGAAGAACTGCTCCTCCACACGTGAGCACCCCATGGAGACCTTGCACCCTAGAATCCCAGCATCTCTTAGAACCAAGCCTCAAGGTACCCAATCAATACAGAAGCCACCTGTGGGACTTCCTTGGGACTGTGAAAGGGCTTGTTTCCTAAAGCCATGAATATCCACACCAAGGGTCCCTACCACATAGGCAGAAATCTAGAGAAAGAACAAGAGGGAAAAACTTCCAGAATGGAATTCTTCTCCCCAGACTCAGCCATCCTCCCACCACAAAGAAAGCCTTGTGCTTCCCACCCTAACAGAAAGAGGTGGAGACAGGGCTCCAGCATGCAGCAAAGCCAGTTTATTCACAGCCTCCAGTGTCCCAACACAGAAGAGGAGTAAGTGCTAGTGGTGTTAGGCCGAAGTACAGCTCTAAAAGTAATCTCTCAGAGAGACAGTCCCTCATGCAGAGCAGAGACCAAACCTGACCATGCCGAAAGGCAGAGGTCTGCAGGCCTCTTCCTTCAGGTCCAGGGCCTGAAGCCCCTTGGCACTCAGAAGCAGACAAACCAGGATGTATGTTTTCATGGAAGGGATTCGCCACTCTACTTTCCCAGGCTGTTGGCTACAGAGTCACTCGCTCTCACCCAACACATAAGTATACAGTTCAAACCCACAGCTCTGATAATCCTTGCTGACATAATAACAAGAGCCTGTTTTAAATAAAAATAAGTAAGTAAGAAAGAAAGAACTAAAGAATGGCTGAATGCATTCCTAAATGATACATCTGATAAAGGGACTTA